AGTGCATGTGACTAGAATACATGAAAATAGAAGATGAATTGTTGCGCAAAAAGATATTTCAGTAGAAGGTTAAGTTATATTTGCACAAAGTTTTAATTGGTTAGAAGTTAACAGAAATTGCTTGCCAAGTGAACATGGTCTAGTGGAAAACACTTTTGCAGCCTGACCTTCACTTCTTTTCTAGATAGAAATGTGTAAGGACTTTGGCTTTTGCACATGTGTTAGAGACTTTTCACATGAAGTACCATCTATTTTTTACTTAGGGACTGAATCTGCTTTGACTTAATGATATATGCCCACCCCAGCTGTTTATGACTTAACAGGGTATATCTTCCATATGAAAATAGGGGAAGGGGGTAGAGAAGAAAGCTCTGAAGGCATTGCACACTGATGGATGCTTGTGTAGGTCTGTGAAGAAGGGACCGTAATGGACACGTCCTAAATACATGGTGCAAATAGCATGTCCTTATGGTGCCAAATCATTTAGTAAGGTGAATCCAGTGGCGTCTTTAATTCGTAAACAATGTAAAGAAGACACTAGATGGTGCTGTAAACTAAGAAATGTATTGGTGAAGGCGGTAAGGTGGTGCTAGAAGTGAAATCCTCTGCCCCAGGAGTTTCTCTGTCCTCCTTGCCTTTTCCTGGTCAGCACACCTAGCCTGCTGTTTGGAAGACATTTACTTGTGATGATTGATAAGCCCAAGGCACATGTGTTTCCCTGAGTTTATATCTATTTTAAAACTAAACCAACCTCAGTTTGCGAATGACGGTGAAACTAGATGAGATGTGAATTTGAGATCAGACAAGTTACTCAGATATTTGGGGCAAAGTTGATACCCAGTTTTCGATTGGGTTATTTAAAGAAGGAAAATAACTATTAACAACTTGATTGGCAGCCATGTTGTTTGACCTATATTTGTGCAGAAAATACATTCGTATAAATCTGTGTGAAGTGAAATTTTATATATAAAATTATTTTTTTCCTGCGCCTTTCAGTATTCCTCCAAGTGGGGCAGCCTCATGGAGAATATTTTGGCATCAGGTTAACATTAAAGAAATCTGAATATTCACTGTGAGAAGCATTTGTTTACTTGATTCTCCCACTTCTGTGACATGGCAGAAGGCCTTTCACAAATGGGTGATTATTGATCCACTTCGATTCATGGGACTGGACAAGAATTTTGCAGTTGGCCACATGCACAGAGGTGGCACACAGAGTCCTTACTGAGGTGGACCAGCTGACAGAATAGACGCCGTAGGGATACTTATAAGAACTCAGTGTGATTTCAGTCGTATCTTAATGTAGTAATTAAAAAAAAAATTGGTGTAGAATATGAAAAAGTGTCTTCTTTTGAATCAGACCTTTAAAACCCCTGTTTGGAAGATTTAACTCTCGCTCTTCATTAGAATTTAGTGAAGCTTGTAAGTCTGAGAACCATAAGTGATTTTATTATCTAAACAGATAAAATGCTAATGAACCCCACAGGACGTTTTACGGTTGTTTCTAAAGTAGGGCATTTTAAATTTTCTAAAAAGTTTTATTTTTGCTCTAATGGCTCCGGAAAGTATGAAGGTTTGAAACATCCAGATAGAGTGGTTGGATTCAGTTTATGAAGATTATAACCTATTGAGTTATCAGATTGACCTGGCTTTGTTGAAAAGATTCAGGATTGAATGTATTGAAGTAGAAAAGAGTTGTACAAATAATCCACCTCAGAGGAGAGTAAAAGCATTTTGAGGACATGTGTTGCATTTATATTTTGGCATCTGTTACCTTGTATTTACTTTGAATAATGACAGAAGTACTTTGCATTTGACCTAATTGCAGAGATGTGACCCAGGAATGATCTGGTTGACTGAGAGAAGGCTTAGCAGGAAAAGGATGGGAGACCGCTGGGGGCTGCCTGCCTGGGGAGCACAGCCAGGGGCTGTTGGGAATGCATAGAGAGAAATAACTGCACATGAAAATTCCCCAGAGGGAATGAAAACATGTTGTTTACCTAGAAGAGAGCAGTCCCAGAGTGAGAACTGTACCACTGTTTTATGTCCAAAGCAGGATAAAAGCCTGGCATTGAATTGGCAGCGTGGCCTCACAGCACATGTGCATGTGTGTGCACGTGTGTGGACATGTTTGCATCTGTGCATGTGTGCGGCATTGAGACCAACCTCCTGCATCACCCAAGACCGACTATACTTACAGTGAACTTTGTGTTTTAGCCAGTATTGACTTCTAGATGGCCCATTGAGATAGAAATATTGAGCTGTTAATATGGTAAGTTAAGAGTGGCACTCGTGCTAATTATTTTGCAGAGCTTCAATTAAGCAACTATTCCCTGTCAGCTAAATAGGAGTGTAGGAGATGAGTGGGTGCATGATGCATACGTTCTAGAACTTTCCTGAAGCCCCAGATCCATGGTGTCTACTAGAACTTTTCCTCAAAATGAATGCAGCAGTCTCAATAAATACAGAACTGAGGTCTCGTCTTTGGCAGGCAGAGTTCTCTGGACAGTAGTTTTCGCTCCAGCAGTTGACAGAGAGACTCTCCTCTCCCTAAGGCCACAGCCTTAGGGGAGCTCCTCGGGGAGCTCAGGCAGGTACATGCCTGCCCCTCCAGGGGTCCTGAATTTTTGCCAACCAACTCTTCCCTCCCCACCACCTCCCTGGAACTATGAGCAAGAGTTCGCCTGCTGACTCTGAGTGTTCTCCCTGGTCATTAATTATTGATTATGCAGTAATTATTAATTATTGATTCAGCACTTTGTCCTTTTAATATCTGGCCAGGATTAATATTTGACCACTCACAACCCGAACTATGGCAACATCTCTCTTCTTCCCTCCTTCCACACAGATCCTGGGCACACAGGGCCCTGCCTGCTGAGTCTCAGCTGCTGATTTCACCCAGTCCGCATCTTCGGATCCATCTGACCCATCTTTCTAAGGCACCCTTCCTCTTCCAGCCTGCTGGTCCCCAGCCCCTGCCCTCTCCCCTGGGCCTGGGTTGAATGTGGCTTCTGTTCTTCCAGCAGGGGCTATGCTGGCCAGGCCTCAGTGGTCTCATCGCTGCCATTTCAGCAGCCTCCCTTCTGTCCTCACCCCTCCCTTCTGTCTGTCTGTCTTCACCAGGATCTTGAGCGTGATCTGGCTAAACCCTGATCCTACTGTCCCACTCACCCCAGAAGCCGAAGCACTACCTCCGGGGTGACCCTGCCCCCTCCACACCCTCTGCACTACTGTGGCTGCCCAGGACCTCCCTCCCTCCTTGTTGTCATTTGGTTTCCTTATGTCTTGTCTTGTTATGCCCTTTAACCTTGGGAGATGAGGGGAGCCCTTTAAAACAAAAGCCTTCCGACCCAGAGGGCAGAGTGCCCCTCTGGAGCTTCTGTGAGGAGCACACACCTGGTAGGGGAGAATGAGGGCTGCAAAGCTTGTTTTCAATACTGCTTATGTGACCTTGGGCAGGTGATTTAATTCTTCCAGGCCTGTTTCCTCAGCTGTTAAGCCAGGTTAATAATGACCGCTTTTTGTTATTTTGTAAGAAATAGATGAAATAGGGCTAATAAATAACATCTTCCTTTTTACTGTGTGCCAAACTCTGTTATAAAGCAGATAATAACTAACTTAGTCCTTACAACCCCCGTGTGGGGTGGACACTGTTGCTAAGCTCTTATTAGAGTTGAGGACTCTTAAGAAATAGGAAGCCCATGTCCCAGGCCCTGCGCCCAGAGCCAGTAGGAGCAGGCCAGGGTGAGCAAGTTTGCAAGTGCCAGTCTCTGCTTTCCTTCCTACCGACCAAACGCTGTAGCCTTTGTTTGGAAGAGCGTCTTGCTGTCTGTGACCCTGAGCCCATGTGTGTTAAGTCTGCTTCTCCAGAGAAACAGAGATAGGGCTGCAACCCATTAAATAGGCTATATACAGAGAGAGACATATGTATTTTAGGAATTGGCTTATGACACTGTGGAGGCTAGCAAGTCCAAAATCTGCAGGGCAGGTTGGCAGGCCGGACATCCAGGGAAGGGTTGCAGTTCAGGTCTGGAGGCAAAATTCCATCTTTCCCCTTGGAGGCCGGGCTTTTTCTTCTATTCAGGTCTTCAGGTGATGGGCTGAGGCCCTCTCACATGAGGAAGAACAATCTGCTTTACTCAAAGTCTGTGGTTTAAATGTTAATTGCATCTAAAAAATACCTTCACAGCATCTAGTCTAGTCTAGTGTTTAGCTAAAACCCGGCACCATGGCCCAGCCAAGTTGACACATAAAACCAACCATTGCAGTCTCTGTGGGCTCATTCCTCCCTTTCTAAAGGGCATTTTCCGCTCTCTCTCTCTCGGCTTACTCTCTGTGCCATTGTGGCTTCTCTCTCTGCACTGCCCCATGCAGAGAGAGAAGATGTGAAGATGGGCTTCCTTCTGCACTCTGGCCAATCAAGAGGATGGGTGGGCACCCGAAGCCCACAGGCATGTATTGTAATAGCAGCCACACATAAACCTCTGTCACAGTTTCAGCTCCTACTTAACCTTTCTGGGCTGGAACCAGTGTCAGTGTTGGGTGCTGCTCTGTTTCTGTCTCTTGTTTCACTTCTGGAATCCCAGGGAGGAGAGAGTCCTGATCTTGGGAGACACCTGTGATACAGTCAGCTGAGTCCAGGCCAGTGGGGTCGTGCTATGCAGCTATGGCTGTGTGTGGCCTACCGGAGTGGGTGGGGAGGAGAGAACAGGGTGCTGAAGGGAACTGAGCAGATGCTCCAAATGGCTTCTCCCTGGAGACAGGTAGAAATGCAGCCCAGCTCTAATGATTGAATTGCCTCGGAATGTCAATCATGATGAATACATGTAATATGCATGCTTCCATACAGTCATACTTCTCTCAGTGTTGCCCCACTACCCCTTACATAACATTTCAAAAATAGGATTGAGGTTTGGAACCTGATCACCAAGATGTACATTTGGGTTTGATTGCTCTCCACTGCTAAAGTTTCTTTTTTGCTCTTGCCTTTTTCTGTGCAGAGGATGATGTGGACCTGGAAGCCCTGGTGAACGATATGAACGCATCCCTGGAGAGCCTGTACTCAGCCTGCAGCATGCAGTCAGACACGGTGCCCCTCCTGCAGAATGGCCAGCATGCCCGCAGCCAACCTCGGGCTTCAGGCCCTCGGTCCGTCCAGCCACAGGTGTCCCCGAGGCAGAGGGTGCAGCGCTCCCAGCCTGTGCACATCCTTGCTGTCAGGTAAGTCCAGGCCTCACGGGCAGAGCCTTCTCCAAGGGTGAGAGCTGTCGACAGGGACATCTCTCTCTGTGAGTTAAATGGTCTTGGGGGGAACAGTGTTGGCCTTGCAAAACCAAGAGGCACATACATTCCTTTGATGGGATAACGGATACACTGAGTGTGTGTGGTGTGCCGCGCTTGGGTTGAACTTTGTAGCCGGTTCAATTCCAGTACTTTTTATTGAGTGCCTGCTATGTGCAAGGCACTGTGCTAGGTAGAGGGATATGCAGGAAAACCACCAGAGGAAAAATCTCTGGGAAGATTGAAAGAACAGCCATGGAGCTGATGGCATGCCCCAAGCCCTCACTACCCAGAGTAGGGTTGGGAGGCTAGCAGCTACAGCACCCCCCGGAGTTTGTCGTATAACCCCAGACCTCCCTCGGAGTTGCATTTGGCCACATTCCTCTGCTAATTCATGGGTAGGCACATCTCTGTGGAAACAGGGAGGCTGGAGGGAGGAACGTGCTGGGGACGTTGAAGGAGGTTCCTGGGAGGTGGGATCTCTGAACAGATGTCAAAGGGCGGTAGGAGCTCAGATAGATGGAGGCAGAGGTTTTATAAGCAGAAGAGATGATGCAGATGGAGGCCAGTGCTGAAACACTTTGTGTGCCCTTTTCAGGAGCCACATGGGGAAGAGTTCTGGACAGGTGCGTGAAGGGGCTGGGTTTGAGTTTTGACACCAGCATTCTGGCTGCCAGGGGTCATGGGGGCAGTGGTAGAGGGCAGCAGGGTTGGCACAGCATGGCCGGTTTGGAAGCGGTTTCAGGAGCCCCCGAATGGAAGATGATTGTGTGCTGCCCGAGGATGAAGAAAGAGGGGATTTGAGCGCGTTGCCGAGGAGGGGCAGCTGCGTTTTGCCAGCACTTGAATTTTGCCAGGGCTGTGAGGTGACAGAGAGTGTGTGGAGGGTGACTTGGATTTTGTCTCGAGTGCCTGGGAGGAGGGTATCTAGAGAACGGTCGTGTTGAAGGAGAAGGTGCTGAGAGCACCTTAGACATTCTGAATGAAGATCTTTGTAGAGTCAAGCTGAGGGCCAGGGGCAGCCCTCAAGGATCGGCCTGTCTGCCCTGCTGCAGTCCATGGCGGGGACGGCGTGGGGCTCCGTGGGACCCTGCCTGCCTCTCTGGGCCTTCGTGGAGGATGTACAGCCATCTCTGCTGGTGCTGCCCCTTGCCCTCATTGGCCTCTGTCAGGATGGGGTTCTGGTGCTTCCTGTCTCAGCACCCCGTCTTCCGGGGAGCTCCGTTCATTTCCTGGGATCTTCCTTGCTTCTAGAAACTTCTGAGAGTTTTCTTTGTGGTCTGACATCTTCGGTCTTCCGCAGCCCAGATAATCACCTTGCTCCAGGTGGCCGCTGTTTCTTACGGAGGGGAGAGGGTACAGTGGCCCTGGCGCCTGTGGTCAGCTGCCTTGCCAGCTTCCCACCCCGGCTTCCCCTCTGACTTCTCACTTTTTGTCATATTCATTGATGCTGAATGATGCCTGTCCCAGGGTTTGTTCGGCTTCGTTCTTTGAAGCGTGACCCCTTGTACTTAGCTCCTGTACTTAGTTAAGTCTAGTGGGAGAGCTGTTTTTCTCTTGGGAGCGTCTCTTGGGAGCATCACAGTAGCCTTGGGGAGCGCCTGGGAATATAGAGTTGCAGTTGCATGGCGAAGGTGCCCGAGAGTGGGCTGGAAAGCCAGAAGGCCTGCCTCCCTGCCGGAGTAGTTAGTTGCCCAGGACCCTTGAACCTTGAGTTCTGGCTGAACTTGCCCATATGTGCCCCAGGGCTGCCTGCGCTAAGTCCCCGGGGTGGAGGGGCAGTCTTGCTCTGTGGGACAGCAGAGCCCTCTCCCTACAGGGTCACAAGCACTATTCCTTGGGCCAGACTCTTCTCACCGGTGTCCTCTCAGATAAGTAGTTTTGTTTCTCACTTTCAGGTGGATTAAAAAAAAATATGGTTATCAATTTAGAATCACCAAAGATTTATTTTGTGAAGTGAGGCCATTCGCTGAGGCTTACTGTGTGCAGATGCTGATGAGCTCCTCCTTTGTTATCAGTGCCCTCGGAGGGAGGTGGTGTGGGTTACCCTCGCTTCCCAGGTGAGGAAACCAAGGCACAGCGGGGCGGTAACTTGGCCCACCGCAGCAGGTGGGAAGTGGCCATGGAGCAGGCTGCTGGGTACCGGGGAGCATGGAGCATGGTGAACGCTGCAGAGGAACTTCCCGGGGGCTGCCATGCAACCCAAAGGGAGCTGGGGTGCAGGCAGGGTATGGGCAGAGGAGACGCTTGGAAAGGGCAAGAAGGCCTAACACACAGGAGAGCCGACGGGTGAGCCGATTCTGTATGGAGAAGCAACCCAGGCTTTTGAGAGTGCAAGGGTCACGCATGTGTTCTAGACAAACGCAAATGGGCCAGGGCATAGGCACAGAGAAGAAGGACCCGCACCTCGCCACACCAGCTCTGCAGTTCCTGCCACCATCACTGACATCCCTAAATCTCAGCACCCCTCTCCATAGTCACTCTCCCTTCTATTGTGAGCCCCTTTCGTGGGGATTTTTTGTCTTTAGGTGATGCCCCTTAGTCTTGCCTTAGGCGATGTCTCTGAGCCACTTTAAAGTCAACACAGGACTTTTTAAAAATGCTCAAAACAACCCAATAAAGAGACAAGCTTTTGTGGACACTGAAACATCAGATTATCTCTTCGGGGTGAAGTCACTGGCTAGAAGCCGTGGACTGGAATGTCCTGAAAGTGGCACTGGCCACCCCTTTTATCCATCTCCTCCTGTACGACAACAGCCAGACCTTTCAGTTGGGTGCCTTGCCAAGGCTGAAGCTGTTATGGGAAGAGTGGGATTTGTTCACAGTAAAAATAAACTTTCTGGCATGTCATCAAACCATTATAGGAACGGCTTTCCTGTATTTCACAGCACTGATTCCCTTCATGCCATGTGAGTTCTCATAATTTTAAATCCATGCATCATTTTCTGGTCTATGTGGGATAGCTAGCTGGATCTTCCTTTAAAAATAGGGAAAGTTGGTAAAAGAGAAAAAGTAAAGTGGTCACAAAGTGTGTTTCTGTAGTGGCATATCTCTCAGGAAAGCTAACGGATTGTTGATTTTGTGAAATCGTAAAAATAGTCAAAAAAAATTACTTGAAGACACAGCCTTGTGATGGGGGTTTCTCAGGTGTGTTTAAACATGGGGAGGGACTGGAAATGCTGAGTGAAGATAATGTGAGGTTTGCTCCCCTCTCCTTGAAGGTAGGAGGCTGTGAACAGGGTCGCGTGGCCTCAGGAAGGGTGGAGGAGGCTGTGTGCCCAGGAGTGTCCTGGAGGTGTGGGCCAGAAGTTACTCTACAGAGGGGAGGCGCCGGGCACTTGGCATTTGCTTTGACTTTGAACTTGATTTCTCTGCTGTTCACAGTTGCTTCTGATTCGTCATACTGTGCGTGTGTTGCATAGTTGTATGACAAGTGGGTTGTGCATTTTTCTGAGGAGGGAACAGATGCCCCTGGAGAAGTGCCAGGAAAGTAGAGGTGATGCGTGGATTCAGCGTGTGTTTCTAAGGTGTGTTTCTAATGTGGACGCAGTCTTTGGGAGGACAGATACGTGAAGCTATAATTTCGAATTAATTCAGTATCAACAACCTTTTTATATAAATAAGCATCCATTGCATAATTCAGGTGAGAACACACAAAGCCTTTTCTTGTATTTTCATTTGATTAGATTAATGCTCATTTCAAGGACATTGACAAACACTTGTCCTCATGAAAACGCTCCTGTGCAGAAAACCTTTCACACATTAGGTATTCACTGATCAAACGGATGAGGTATTTGGAGCTGATGCCATGTCAGGCCCTGAGAGCTGCCTGAGATGAGCACGCACCCAGGACAACAGAAGAATCTCTGCACCCCCGTCCCCCCGGGATGCCTAATGAAGAAGAGAATTGATACCAGATACCCTTTGGGTCTGAGAATGACAACTTGTAATTTTTTAAAGTTTTCCTTTTAGTAAAATACATGTAACATAAAATTTACCATATTAACTGTTTTTTCAGGATATGGTTCAGTAGTATTAATGCACACTCACAATGGTTGTACAATCTCCAGAACTTTCTCATCTTGTGAAACTGAAATTCTGTCCCCAATAAATAGCAACTCCCCATTCCCCTCCCCTTAGTCCCTTGCAGCCACGATTCTACTTTCTATGGGTTTGAATATGCTACCTCCCTCACTGTGTGAAATCACACAGTGTCTCTGGTGTTGTGACTGGCATGTTTGACTCTGCATAATGTCTTCGGGGTTCAGCCTGTTGTAGCCTGTGTCAGAATGTGCTTCCTTTTTCATGGCCTAGTAGTGGTCCATGGTATGGATATGCCACATTTTGTTCATCCATTCATCCATCTGTTGATCCTTGGGTTGCCTCTACTTGTTGGCTATTGTGAAGGATGCCACTGTGAACGTGGGCATGCCAGTGACTCCTAGAAGCCCTGTGTCCCGCTTTCTGGGTGTATCACCACAGTGGTAAGATTGGGTCATGTGGGGAATGGCAGCTTTTAACAGGCACTTATCCCTGCCTTCCAGGCGCCTTCAGGAGGAAGACCAGCAATTTAGAACCTCGTCTCTGCCGGCCATCCCGAATCCTTTTCCTGAACTCTGTGGCCCTGGGAGCCCCCCTGTGCTCACGCCGGGTTCTTTACCTCCGAGCCAGGCTGCCGCAAAGCAGGTGAGTGTGCCCCTGGCTGGGGCCCAGGCTTAGGGATGTGCCAGATTATTGGGATCTGCACAGATGTTCCAGATTATTACTTTGGGAAGAAGGGCGGGAAGTCCTGGGATCTTCTCTCTCCGTTCTTTTCTTGTTGTCCGATGAGGCTGACACAGTTTGGAGGTTGTCCTCTCCAAATCTCATGTGGAATTGTAATCCCCAGTTTTGGAGGCAGGGCCTGGTGGGAGGTGATTGGATCTTGTGGGTAGATCCCTCATGGCTTGCTGCTGTCCTCACGATAGTGAGTTCTCACGAGATCTGGTTGTTTAAAAGTACGTGGCATCTCCTCCCCTTACTCCCACTCCTGCAGTTCCTGCTTTGCCTTCCGGCATGATTGTAAGCTCCTAAGTCCTCCCCAGAAGCCGAGCACATGCCCGCACCATGCTTCCTGTGCAGGCTGCAGAATCATGAACCAATTAAACCTCTTTTCATTATTGATCTAAACTCCATGTATCTGTATATTTTAGAAAAAGTCTCATAAAAATGGCAAATAATAACAATGATTTGATGTTTAAAGATGAATCTTAGTTCTTTGAAAAAGTTTCACCGCTGGCTCAATAACAGATGTGAAAATGCTGGGCTCACCCGGACAGCTGGGTGTCCGTACACGGGAGTTGAGGAGTTTCTGTCTTGTAGTCCTGACTTTGAATATGATCTGCTGAAAGCAGAAAAGTTTCCACTGGACCCACAGGGCAATAGCCCCCTTTTTGAACTTGTAGTTTCTATTTAAAGTAGATCCATGAAGTCGATAGGACACAACATTGTCCCCATGTGAGGAAACTGAGGCACAGAGAGTTTCAGTAACGTGTCCAAGGTCAAACAGCCAGCAAGTCAGCTTAGCAGAGAAACCGCCAGAGAAAAGGGTTGAAAGTTCCTCCCCACCAGTTGGCAGGGCTGTGGGCTGGGATGGGCTGCAGCCTCTGGAGGAAGACCCCTAGGGGTGGAGGTGATCATGAGAACCGCAGCATCTGATCTTTATGGAGTGAGTGATTTCTGTGTGCCAGGCCTTGTAAGTGGTGGATATGTTTATGTTTTGTTTATTTGTATGTTCATTTCCTCCTCATGCCATCCCATGTGAATTAAGTACACATATTCCCTCTGTTCCACAGTTGAGGGAAGGGAGGCCCCTATAAGCAGCTGAGCTGAGTGTGGCTGGGACCTGATGGTGCGGCTGAGTGTGACCCAGCCTCAGGATCGGAGCCTGTGATTGTAGCCACTATGCTGATCGGCTTCCCGGGACCTTGACTTTCCTTCTGCTAAATGCATGTTGTTTAGAAGTTATTTTGCCCTTCTACTTGAATCGTCTCTTCTCCCTACTTGCTCTCACTTCCCTACCTTTGCTGTTCTCAAGTGGGACAGACCAGTCATCCCTTTCTCTGCAAATCTGCCTGTCCCGTGCCATGCAAGGTCCGCCCTCTTGAGAGATAGACCTTTCTTCCATTACCCGCTGGCTCCCAAGTACGGGTCCCGTTCTGACCTCAGGCCCCCGGAGCAGGCTGCATTATGGCACTATCAAAACTTAGAAGGTGAGGTAAGTGTCCCTCATCTGGGAGCCAGCACTGGCTGGGCTTGTGCACTTTGTCACATGCCTAAAGTGCATCTGGGATGTCTACCTCGCCGGTGACCTTCTGCTTCAAATAAGGATCCAGACAAGCTGTCTGTGGGTTTTGTCACTGAGGTTGTTTACAGAGCTACCCATTCTAAAATAAGACCATGAAAATATTATCTGGCTCTCTCAGCCTTTGGCAAGAAAACTGGCCTCCACCCCCAGGGATTGTCCAAATTTGTAAGCAGAACAAGGAAACCAGGGAATTTTGCCTGCTGATGTTTTTCTTGGGATCAGAGCTAGTTCCCCATGAGAACGTGGCATTGGTGTCTGTGTCACTAGTGTCCTCAAGCCCACAGAAATAAGAGCAGGAAGGATGTTTCTCACTCAGAACTACTTGTAGAAAGTCCTTGTTCTTTGTTCTTTTTTTTTTTTTTTTTTCCGACTTGCTTGAAGGGACATTTCTTTATCTGTACTTGGTGTTGACTTCTAATCTCATGAAAAGTGTGTTTTCCCGATGCAGTGGGTAGCAAGTGCTAGACAACCTCCAGCCACTTCCCAGGGCTTTGGATCTAGGATCACGATGGGGGACGGTGCTGGGCAAAGAGCTTTGGCTCCATTCCTTGCCCCTTGCTTGAGGAAAAGAAAAATCTAATGTTCTTATTCCCTTCATTCAAGTCAAAGGAAGTAATGCTGAGACCAAAGTCTAGTCAAGGATTCTGAAGTAGTAGAAAAATTGACAAAGTGGACCCACTACATAAAGTAACTTCAGTCACGGGTAAGAACTCAGTTAACACAGAAAAAGAAGAAAGCATAAGGAAATCTATGGAAGGTAATGGGATAATGAGGTTATTGGAAACTTCCTCATTCATGTCATTTTGTTCACTATTAAATAGCAGATTCATGAAGGAGGGAACAGGGGAGGAAAAAGTAGAGATATTTAAACTTCCATAAGAAAGGAAAGATCATTCTTGCCCAAGCTTTGTAGCCAAAGCCTTCTGAAATTCCCACACAGGCATTAGTACCTTTCTTCTGCCTCTCTCATTTATTTATTTATTTTTTGAGACAGAGTCTTGCTCTGTTGCCCAGGCTGGAGTACAGTGGTGTAGTCTTGGCCCACTGCAAGCTCCGCCTCCCAGGTTCACGCCATTCTTCTGCCTCAACCTCCCAAGTAGCTGGGACTACAGGCGCCCGCCACCATACTCGGCTGATTTTTTGTATTTTTAGTAAAGACGGGATTTCACCATGTTAGCCAGGATGGTCTCGATCTCCTGACCTCATGATCCGCCCACCTCAGCCTCCCAAAGTGCTGGGATTACAGGCGTGAGCCACCGCTCCCGGCCCTGCCTCTCTCCTTTTTAAGTGACTCCTTGGTAGCTCTGTAGTGCGATAAGAGAGATCAGATGCTGGTGTCCAGAGACCCCAGGTCTGAGAGCAAGCAACTGCCATGACATGGACCTGGCGCTCCTCACAGCATGCTGAGCCCCCTGGCCCGCATGCTGGGACAGGGCGGGAGAGTGGCAGTGGTCTCACTGCAGCATTTATGGGCCCTCACGGGTCTGAGTTCCACCTGCAGCTCTGGTGTGACTCCTTTCTAGACATGCAAGATACAAGCTCAGTGCCCTGTAAAGGCTGCAGGCCACAGGACTTAATGAAAGGAAGGAGGGGAGGGAAAATTCTGCATGGGAGCAGTCGTGGGTAGAGAAGAGCCCTCAGCCTCCTATTCAGCAGCATGAGATTCCTCCAATGCCACCTCCCTCTGAGCTCTCTCCCTTCACTCAACATGAGCCCCTACAACGGCCGGGGCTTTTGCCAGACTCTGAGACTAAGAGGTTGGCCGCAAAGTGGGCCCTGCTCTCGTAAGCTTAGCATGATGGTGACAGAATGAAGAGCTATCTGAGAGGAAGCTGGATGGAGTAGTTGGTGGTCTAGGACTTGACAGGCATGTGCCAAAAAGAAAGCAGCCATTACTCTATCTAGAAGGACAAGGAGGTCTTCCCCAGCTGCCTTGCATCTTCTCTCTGGGGATCCCAGAGCATGCAGCAGCCCCAGGCAGGCTTACCAAGTTCTTCCACGATGACTGCACCCTGGCTTTGTGACGCTGCATTGGCCAGGTTCTTCCTGAGTGCTGTGCCGAGTTTGCTAAAGGTACCCATGGGGCTTGCCTGAGTCATCTGGGTTGGCGGGAATAGCTGAGTTGCAAACCTGTGATCCTCCAGCTGGGGGAGACTTACACCAGCGCAAAGGGGGCTACTTCTGATCGGAGATCCACGTGCTGGGACGTCGCCATCCAACAACCCACTTGTTCCTTCCTGCCTTGCTGTCCTTCACCTGCCCTGGATTCAACCTCCTCACCCTACCCAGGCTCTGCTTCCTCTTCTGGGTCTAGGGTCCTGCCCAGGTGCTTCTACAGGAGCAGTGCAGGGTCGGTCTCACCTCCCTGGTCCTGCCCAGGCTTGTTGATACCCCCACCTGGGGTGGCACCCGCCCTGCAGCTGCTCAGCATTGGGCCGGGGGAGCTCTGAGAGCAGTTTGCCCAACGTGCTATGGGTTCCACACCTGGGTAGGTCAGACCCTTGATGGAAGCACAGAAATCTGGAGCTGGTAAACCCAGACACCTCCACCCACCTCTGCCACTGGCTCATGGGCCCTCACTGGTGTTTGGGTGGTCATAAATAGTGTGAGATGTTTTGGGGTTGTCTGTCTAGACTTCTTGGGCTTTCTGTTTTATTTTGTTGTTGATGATGAATTTTAAAAGAGCAATGTTTTGGCTTGTTTGGTAATACTTAAGCCAGAGTCTGTTGGTCTTGCGTTTACCTGAGGTTGTACTCTATGGCTTCCCCATTAAAGTGAGAGAGCACACAAACCTATTCCCTCACGGAAGAGCAGACATCCTCCTTTGCTCCAGGAGAGTGTATAGAGGAACCGTACTGTGTGGTTTTACATAGTGTGTCAGAGGTGACAGCAGTCCTCCTTGTCACCAGTGCGTGACTTTCGTCAGAAGGTATAGCTTCTGGGGTGATCATTCCATCATTTATTAAATGGCATGTAATTTTATTCAGTGATTTGATTTATTTAAGTTTAATGATATCTCCTCATTGACTTACCAAAACTACAAATACATAAGAATTCCTTTCTGAGTGTTTAATTTCTTTCCTCCAGAAGGTGGTGAAATTAAATTAGTCAGTGTTCAGGAAACTGGATATTTGTGGTAAGAATCAACAGGGCATTTTTAACTGCTTTATATGACTCATTTGAAAAGACAGGCTGTTGTGGGTAAGGGTGATTGATACAGCAAAGACTTGTGAGCCCTGAGGCCAAGCACCATGCCCCTGTCGAAGAGGCTGGGCCCATGGTCTAGTTGGTGCCACTGGGCCTCTATGGTGAGGCTCCCTTTGCTCTTGGTGCCCTGGCA